AGACAGCCCCACTCCACACGCAGACTCTCTGACTGAGCCGGGCCATTCAAGCCCCTCCCTGACAGCTTTTCCCGGAAGCAGAGAAAAGAACTTTGACCCCTGCTAATGGCATTGATGGTGCCTGAGGGCAGGCTTACCCAACCCAGCTCCGCCCAGACTCACCCCCAGACCAGCCCTCACTGAGGGGGAGAAAAGGACACACCTGGAAGTGCCAGGGCCCCACTGACCACCTGAGGCACTAGAGTTCTCTCCACAGGAACAAGAGCTGATAACAGGACTCAAAAACAACAGCGTAGCCTGTTCCTCCAAGCAAGCACCACCTACTGACAAGGAAGACACCCTGCACACCCTCTTCACAGCACCTACTGACTGACTATACAGGGAGTGGTTGAATTTCACCCACAGACACCACCTACCGGCTCAGAAACTAAACGTGGCGTGTGAATACCCAAACGAAAACCTAAAGGAAAGAAACAACTGATCGACATGGGAAGAAGTCAGCGAAGGAACTGCAGAAATATGAAGAACCAAACGGAAATCACACCCCCAAAGAGGAGCACCAGCCCCTTAGAAATGGACACCAACTAAAATCAGGCCACCGAAATGACAGAAGAGGAATTCTGAATATGGATCATAAGAAAATTCAACGACCTGCAAGAACAACTGCATAACCAACACAAAGAAACCACAAAACGCCTCCAGGACCTGGAACAAAAGTTCACTAAAGAAATCAATACAATGAAGAAAAGTTTAACTGAACTCCTGGAAATGAAGAGTCAATTCAGGGAACTACAAAATTCAGTGGAAGGCCTCAGGAACAGGGTAGATCACACAGAAGAATCTCAGAGATTGAAGATAACACCTTCCAATTAAATAAATCAGTCACAGAGATAGAGCAGAGAAACAAGAGAAAAGAGCAAAGCCTACAAGAGATGTAGGATTATGTGAAGAAATCTAATGTGAGGGTCATAGGGTTACCAGAAGGGGAAGAAGACAACACTTAAGGATTGGACAAGCTATTTGAAGATATAATAGAGGAAAATTTCCCAGGCCTTGCTCAAAATCTCCAGATACAAGTTCAAGAAGCTCAGAGGACCCCTGGGAGATTCAATGCAAACAGGAAGATGTCACGACATACAGTCATCAGACTGACTAAAATATCAACTAAAGAGGCCCCTTTAAGAGCTGTTAGACTAAAGGAGCAAGTAACGTACAAGGGAAAGCCAATTCGAATAATGCCAGACTTCTCTACTGAAACTTTACAAGCAAGAAGAGACTGGGCCCCCATTCTCACTCTTCTGAAAGAGAACAATGCCCAGCCTAGATAGAACCTTACTCCCTGCAAAACTAAGTTTTGTAAATGAAGAGAAATCAAGAAATTCTCAGATAAGCAAAGACTGAGGGAATTCACCAAGACAAGACCAGCCCTTCAAGAAGTACTCAAAACAGTTCTACCCATGGATCAGCAAATTAACATTCACAAATGTAAATCTACTCAAAGCTAAAGATCAAAGCCCAGACACTACAACGGCTCAAGAGAGAAAACAAAGCAACAAAGTTCAACCCAACATAATGAACAGAAATCTACCCCACCTATCAGTTATCTCAATAAATGTGAATGGCTTGAACTCCCCACTCAGGAGACATAGGCTGGCCGAATGGATAAAAAAAACACAAGCCAAGTATCTGCTGCCTTCAGGAAACACGTCTAACCTGCAAGGACATTGACCTAGGCAAAGACTTTATGAAGAAGACCCCAAAGGCAATCACAACAGCAATAAAAATAAACAAATGGGACCTAATGAAATTAAAAAGCTTCTGCACAGCCAAAGAAACTCAAGAGAGCAGACAGACAACCCATAGAATGGGAGAAAATTTTTGCAAGCTACACATCTGATAAAGGGCTGATAAGTAGAATCTATTTAGAACTCAGGAAAATCAGCAAGAAAAAGATCAAACAACCCTATCAAAAATGTGCAAAGGACATGAATAGAAACTTCTCAAAAGAAGACAGAATAATGGCCAACAAGCATATGAAAAAATGTTCAACGTCTCTAATCATCAGGGAAATGCAAATCAAAACCACAAGGAGATATCACTTAACTCCAGTGAGAATGGCCTTTATCAAAAAATCCCCAAACAGGCTGAGGGAAGTTCTCAAACACCTGAAGCTCAAAAAGTTGAAATGTGTCATTTCTCCCAACTGTGAGAAGATACAGTCGAAAGGTGGGCTGGACGACACATTGCACACCATCATTGATCACGCCTGTGAGCAGAACATCCCCTTGGTGTCTGCCCTCAACCGCAAAGCTCTGGGGCGCAGTTTGAACAAAGCAGTCCCTGTCAGTGTGGTGGGGATCTTCAGCTACGACGGGGCCCAGGACCAGTTCCACAAGATGGTCGAGCTGACGATGGCGGCCCGGCAGGCGTACAAGACCATGCTGGAGAACGTTCAGTGGGAGCTGGCGGGCGAGCCCGGGCCTCAGGCCCCTTCGAGCCCTGCCACTCGGGACCCCAGCTGCTCTGAGGAAGACGGCCCCACAGCCCCCACTGAGAAAGAAGAGCCACACTACATTGAAATCTGGAAAAAACATCTGGAAGCGTACAGTCGATGTGCCCTGGAGCTAGATGACTCCTTGGAGGCTTCTACCTCTCAGATGATGAACTTGAATTTATAGGAAGAGAGTTCTTTCCTGTGTGTCTGTGTTTTTGGGGTAAGGAGGGGGAGGTTTGAAAAAGACTTTGGGGCTTTTGCTTCTCAGTTCTTCATTGACCTAATGTATTTTGTATGACTGTTGAATTTGGAAATTAACATGCATGAAAGGGCACTTGAAGCAGCATCTCAGACCTTCAAGACTGCAGAGCCCACTCGTACCTACCACGTGGTCACTCAGACACGCCAGCGAAAAGCTTCTCATAAAAGCCTGGTGATACAGCTTTGGCTTTCCGAGCACACTGTGGATCTGGAAATTACTGGAAAACATGGTACTTAGAGTATTTGGACTGCTAAGGAAACTTCCTCTCCGTTGCAGAATAGCTGAGCCAAGTGAGTGAGTTTGTAGAAAGCTGGGGCTATGCTCCTGCCAGCAGGGGACAGGCTACAGGGCACCATTTTCTCCCAGGGAAGGAGCACGGTCCTGCAGGAAGCCACCCACAGATGGCTGCAGGGACGCTGGCGTCAGAGCAGGAGGGTTGTGGGGGAAGGCCCTTTCTCAGGGGATATAGCTTTTCAGCTTCAAGATTTGGAAATACTTGGAGGATTTACTAAAAAGAGCCTCAGAAAAATTGGTTTTCTAACCTGTGACTTTTTGACACTATTCCTTTCAGTCTTTATTTTTCAGAGAAACAATGTGAATTGAAGTTCCTAGATTTCAGTTTAATAATCTACAAATCTTTTCTTTTTTAAATGCACATATTCTGAATGTGGCTTCTGTCTTAGAGGACAGGAGGACAGAGTTGACTTTCATATTTTCCTTGAAAGTAAGAGGGCTTATTTATTTTGAATAAAGAGTAATTATTTTAAAAAAAAAAATCCCCAAACAACAAATGCCGGTGTGGATGCACAGAGAGAGGAACACTCCTACACTGCAGGCGGGACTGCAAACCAGTTCAACCTCTGTGGAAAGGAATATGGAGATACCTCAAAGTGATACAAGTAGATCTACCATTTGATCCAGCAATTCCACTACTGGGCATCTACCCAACAGATCAAAAGTCACTTTATGAAAAAGACACCTGCACGCGAATGTTTATAGCAGCACAATTCACAATTGCAAAGCTGTGGAAACAACCCAAGTGCCCATCCCATCAATCCATGAGTGGATTAATAACATGTGGTATATGTATACCATGGAGTACTACTCAGCTTTAAGAAACAATGGCGATATAGCACCTCTTGTATATTCCTGGATAAAGCTGGAACCCATTCTACTAAGTGAAGTATTCCAAGAATTTAAAACAAGCACCACATGTACTCACCAGCAAGTTGGTATTAACATATCAACACTTAAGTGGACACATAGGAAAAACATTTATCGGGTGTTGGGAGGGTGGGAGGGGGAGGAAGTGACGGGTATATACAACCACAAGGCGTAAGAAGTGCAACGTTGGGGGATGGACATGCTTGAAGCTCTTACTCGAGGGGGAAGGGGGGGCATGGGCAATATTAGTAACCTTAACACTTGTACCCCCATTATTCGCTAAAATAAAATAAAATAAAAAGAACCGGGAAAAAAAGGAAGGAAAGACAAATAACTTTTCTTTTACAAATGTTTACACAGCTTCCAAATAACCTCAGTCTTGGGCATTTGGCTCTAGGCTGCAGGTCTGGCTTTGGGGCTCCTGAGTTTCTTGCTCTCCCTGGACCTACAGGTGTTCAGATCATGTTCTCCTTGTGGTGAGAGCAGGGATGTTAGGAGGATGAGCAGAAACAGGCAATGAGTCTTCTGGCCTTGCCCTGGAACTAGCTACTGTCCCCATCTGCCGCGCCTGCTTGGCCCATGGGGGAGGTGCGAGTCTCCTTATGGAGACCTGCTGCTGTTGCAGAAGGAGGTGCAGCAACCACCCAGTTTGCGAGGAGCACCCGGTGGGCTGTTCTGCATAGGTAATCTATGCACGTGCTGTAAAGCACAACCTGTTTGTGATGAATCAGTCCCCTCTCCCGCTTGCCCACTGGCCATGTGACAGCTCTCGTCAGAAGCAAATGTGTGTGCCCGTGAGCGTGTAAGGTAGAGAGGAACCTTGCTTGGCTGTCGGGGTGCAAATCCCACCCTCCTCACTTACTCGTTTTGTCCTTGGGCAGACTTGACCTGTGGTTCCATCTCCTCACAAATACAATAAGGATAATTGTATTATCTGTTTTGTAGGTTTGTTGTGAAAATTAAATGAGTAAACGTTTATAAAGTGCTTAGAACAGTGTGTCTGACAAATAATATAAAAGTGTTATAAGCAATTTTAGTTGTACATAATTGTATAATAAATTTTTAAAATACAAATTTCAGTATTGATATGGAAAATATCGGGCTCCAGGAAGCAGCCGCTTGCCACCTCCCCCCAGCGCTGCGCGTGGCCGGCCGGCAGCAGAGAGCCGCCTGGGGCCCTTCGTTCTGCTGCCTGTTTCCAGCCAGGCTGCTTGCCTGATCCTGATTGGGTAAATTTTGATTCCCACTGTTTTTGATTGGATGTTAAAGCTTGTTGTTGATTGGATGTTAAAGCTTGTAGTTGATTGGATGCTTTTTGAATCCTACCAAGGGTATAAAAGCAGGAGGAGAACAAGGAAGGGGAGCAGAAAGAGAAGATTGGAAGGCGCAAAGAGAGCTGTAACACTAGGTGTGTTGAGATCGCTGGCTGAATAAAGGCTGTTCTCCAACTCTTTGTGTGCTGCTCAGTTCTTTCCCCAGTCAAGAGCTGTAACACTAGCTGTACACATTGCCACAACAGTATGGTATACCTTGCCCTTTTTAAACTTAGAAATATATCTTGGAAATCATTCTGTGGTAGCACATATAAAACTGCATCATTCTCATCCATGTCATTTCACATACATTCCAGCATATCTGTAGGACAGCAGGGTGCTGTCGCTGGGCCAAAGGGTGTGAGCACTTTTGATTTTGATATTTTTGCTGAATTGCTCTACATTGTAGTGTGAGTTTTTACTCTTGCAGGAAATGTATGAAGAGCCTCTGTTTCTCTACATCCTTGCCAAACAGTGTGTTAGAAAACTTATTTTTCCCAATCTAATAGGTGAAAATGGTATCTGACTTAATGTGCACAGATGGCTTTAGATGCTGGGAGCAGAGCCCGCCTGGGGCAGGGTGCCCACTGCCTTCCCAGCACAGCCTGGCCCCGCAAAAAAGCCTGGCTTCCCTACCTTCTCTGCCACTGAGGTCTAGAGAGAGCCCCTTGGGGACAGGCCTCCCCTTACCTCCAGATGTTTCAGGCTGTCACATGAGCAGCCATCTGTGACCATAAGGTGGTCCCTGTGGGCAAAAAGACATCTCTAAGTTTGGCTCTAGTGGCCACTTGTGGAGCTGCTGGCCCAACCTTGTACTGCGTTCCGGTGACAACCACAACACCCAGTGGCACTCGTGGGTCCACATGAGGATCCTGCACTTAAAACTCACGTCATCTTCACAGCAGCTTTGGGCAGAAAGATGATTATCCCCGTTTCACAAAGGAGGAAATGGAGGTGCAGGGAGTCTAAGTAGCTTGCCTGAGGCCACCCCACTATCCAGGGGCGGATGAGGACCAGCAGCCCAGCCGGCACACTCAGATCCCCTGCTCTGAGCCACTGCTGCAGCGATTGCGGATGGGCAGCCAGCAGCCTTCGCAGTTCAAACCACTGTGTGACTGAGTGGTCTGGTACTTACAACCCAAACCATCCTGCCTGATACGCCTGACCCCACTAAGAAGTCATTCCGAACCACAAGAGTGGGGTTTAAGCTTCATTGGAGCCATTTAATATGTGAGAGTTACTAGAAAACTGTCCAGTCTGCCCACGATGACACCAGGGGGTGAGAAAGGAAGACTCAAAAGAACATGATGGGCAGTGGTTAATATCACCTGAGAAGCCAGTGCCTGCATGGGCCGTGCACCTGTGGAGCCCCCAGCAGCGGGGCTCTGACGTTGCCTGGTGGCAGTCCCACAGGGCTTCTGTGCTTGGTAGGAGGAAGGCTTGCTTTTCCCTGGTAGTCGCAGTTTTCCACCATGTTCAAATGTAACTATCTTTGCAATCGGCAATATTTTTTAAAGTAAATGTAAATGCAGTTGTTTTACTAAGAGATTTTAAAATGTGAACATCACTTCATGCTGACATTCAGTAAGCTTAATGAGAACTTATCACTGTAATTAACTAAGATATTTGAGTCAATTTATTGGGCAGTCAAATGTCTATTGGTGGTGGGATTTTTGAAAAGGCTTTTGAAATGTCATCTCCCAGTAAGTTTCTAAATCGGTTTTTGTTTCTGAAAATCCCAAGTTTGGGATTCCTAGCTATTCTCACAGGCATCTCTGCTGAACTGCAGATGATGATTTCTCTCGCCAGCACAGCATGTGAATTCTCAGACAGCAGAATTAACCAGGTAGCTTTATGCTGGAATGTCGGCTTTGCTTACAAAGTGTGTTCCAATTTGGTGTTCGTGATGAGTTTAGCAAGCTGAGTGGTTTAGTTACTTTTTGGGCCCATCCTCTGCTGAGAAAGGGATCAGAGGGGTCTTCCTGGCAGTTGTTAACACAGGGGTGCTGTCTGGCACCTGCCACGTTGCTGGGAGCTGAATTGTAACCACGTCTGGACAGTGGCAGCAGTATGGCTGCTAGTTGCTGTATTGCATTACAAGGTTGGCTTTCCCTTTCCTGTCATTTTAACATCAATCTTAAGCCAGCTAAGAGGTTTTAAATGTTTCCAGTTATTTAGATCTTTAGACCATGAAGAAAGCCATTGCTTCCTTGGGTGCTAAGAGAGAGGGTGATGAGCCAGTGTCCTTGCAGAGCCCGAGGCTGCCGCTAAAGCCAATTCAAGATCAGTTACTAAAAATGTCAATCATGCAAAAATGGCTGAGATGGAATAAAAAAAGAAAACATTATAAACTGTGTGTATAGTGCGATCCTTTCCTGTAAGGAAAATTACTAATACTGGGCATTAGTAATTGTGCAGAGAGAAAGTTTGGAGCACATGCTCCATGCTGATAACCAGGCTGCATTTGGGAAGGTGGATGATGGGAATGTTTGTTGTTGGCAGTGTCTTCTGTCATGTTTGATTTTTGAATAATATGTATTATTTCTGTGGTCTAAAAAGTGAGGGAAAAGACCAAAAGTCAGAGAGTATAATCCACCCAAGACACCAGAAGCCAGTTAGGCCATCTAAATGGCTGGTCCCAGGGTGAGTCCCCGTGGGCAACACCAGGGCGTGGAGCTGCGGATTCCACAGTGCTCGGCTCCTCTGCAGGACTCGGGCCGGGTTCAGTGTCCCTGCGGCTGCCCCGGCTGTGCACACAGTGTGCCTGCAGGGGCGCCCGCGAGCCGGCTGGCCTGTTGAGGGCTGCCCACTGCCCCAGGAGCGCCTGGTGACGGCGGACTGGGCCCGGTGTGGGAGCCACAAACCGGATGAGAGTGCAGACGTTCTGTGTGCAGGCAGCAGTGGACAAACTGGGTAGACGTGTCCAGGCATCCTCGTTCCCGGGTGCCTGGAAGCAGGAGCCCCTCCGGTGGGGCAGGGTCCGAGCTGTCACCCTCCGCTGGCACCTTCCTACCCCTCCCCCTGGCTGCAGGCGCTGGGACTCACCCCACAAAGCCACCAGCCAGGGCTGTCAGGCACGCAGTCGCGCTTCTGGCCGTGTCACTGGCGTAATCGGCAAGATCAGGTGGCCACAAAGAGCCATGAATGAGGTGGTGATTGCGTTCAAGGGAAAAAGAGTTAAAGAGAGACTTCTCCTTTCTCACAAGATCCGTGAAAGCAGTGACAGCTAATATTTTAAAGCTAGAACAAGATAATTGTGGCAAGAGATCTTTGTAAGTTCTCTGGAAACCGCTGCATGCTCACAATACGTATTCAAATGCTCTTTGTGTCGTAAATACCAGGTGGGGGGAGGGGGGAGCTGGAGGGGAGAGGACCTGGAGAGGGGGGAGGGGAGCGGGGGGAGGGGAGGCGGGAACGCCGAGAGCCGGTCGGGTGGACGCACGTTCTAGCCCAAAATGAGCGGCATCAGCCACGGAGCATGCGCGAGCCCTTCCCACGGCGTGTGGCGGGCGGGCCGTGTGGGCCCCGGCGTGGGCGCGTCTGTGGGCCGGTCCGCGCTGGCTGGGCCTCCGCGACCGAGGGGCAAGCCGGAGCCACAGCAGCGAGGCCGGGCACAGGCCTGTGGTCTCCCAGCTACTTTGGAGGCTGAGGTGGGAGGATCCTCTGAGCGCAGGAGTTGGAGGCTGCCGTGAGCGGTGATGATGTAACGGCACTCCAGCCTGGGCGACAGAGACCTTGTCTCATAAAAAAGAAAGAAAAGGCTGAAGACTGTTCACCAAAGTGTGCTTTCGTGATTTTGCGGGTGCCCCCCCACCCCAACATCCCCATGGAGCCTTTGGGCATGCCGAGGGCGGACAAACTCCGCGCCTCACGTTTTCACCACACCCCCACCAGTCCTTCAGTCTCTTCCCTTTCTGTTTTTCATTCTATTGGGTTTCCTTGAGACAGAGTCTCGCTCTGTTGCCCGCACCAGCACTCTCCCACGGACCACGGCCCCGCCCCCGCGCCGGCCCGCCCGCGCCAAGCGCCCGACCCGAAGCCAGGCCCCCACGCCCCGCCCGCCAGCCCCGCCAGCCCCGCCCGCCGCGCCGCCCCGACCCGCCCCGCCGCCGGCGCCCGCCCCCCCCCGCGCGGCCGCCCGCGCTCAGCCCTGCCCGCCCCGCGCCCGCGCCCCGCCCCAGCCCGCCGCCCGCCGCCGGGCCAGCGCCCCAGCCGCCCCGCGCCCCGCCCAGCGCCCCGCGCCGGCCACCGCCGCGCCGCCCCGCCCCGCCCCAGCGCAGCCCGCGCCCCGCGGCGCCCGCGCCGCCCAGCCCGCCCAGCCCGCCCAGC